GAAAAAATACTCATGAGCCAGTCTATCGGATCGCTGCTGAATTGAAAAGATTTCCACACTACTAGTAGCGTGTGAGTAGCGAGTACATGCGAGGGGAAACCTTGACCTCGTGAAAGACCTCATTACGACAGTGGACGAATTTAAGGCTAGATTCTTTTCCGCACTTTTCTTATATTTCCTTTTCGGTAAACATGTGAAAAGATGGATAAAAGTATATCATGCGAAAATTTTAATGCCAAGACGCCATGCTTTGAGGCGACTTACCTCTCTTAAATGCTTCTGAAGTCTGGCCAAAAATCGTCCCATTTCAAAGTAGACTTCTGGCTGTAGAGGAGTTAAACTGGACCACGTCTGTCCAGGAATGTAGGTCAACATTCGCATTGTGTGGCATCGCCGATGAACTGAAAATTACGGATTTCGTGCATGAATTACTCCGTTCACTCTCTCACACACACATTAGATGTTCGCTATTGCTTCTTTCTTCATCGATGCCAGAGAACTTTTTGGACTTCAAGTGTTTTTGACTGAGGGCTTTTGTGTAAAACGGATTTTACATGTTTTATATATCACCAGATATAAAAGTGGACCATACAACTTGATACCACCTGCCGTAGTTGTCTTAATGGTTGCTGCAGGAGATAGATTGTGTTAAAAATGTAGGAACTAAAAAGAGGACTCAGAGGACTCAAGGACGAGTGAAGAACCACCAATTAAATATGTCCCAACGCTAACGGTTATTCCATTGGCAGTTCTGTAGTCCAGTTATGTTCCTGGCTGATTCTCCTAACACCTGGCTGTACCGTCTTGGTCCATTTGTATTGATTCACCATCCAAATCGTGATCCCGTCCCGTATGAAGCTGGGAAGTACTGTACAGATGTTTCATCCTTATTGGGATAGATTAGTGGCATTCCACTCAGGAAACATGAGTGAGATTCGAACCCGGGACCTCCTGAAAAGTTGCTGAAGACTGAACCGTTCGACCACGAGCGGACGACCAGCAGTGTGATTTACTGGCACGATCTGAATGGCACTCTTATCAGGGTGTTCAATAGACATCAAATTCTAATAATTTTTGCTTTGCACAAATGTATCAAGCAAACATTAAATTCAACCACCCTAATTGCAAGTTTCAATGTAGCACTCTTTCGGTGCCTGACTGCCATGCCACCTGAAGTAAGCACGAGGGTCGGATAGTGTCAGGCTGCCCAAGTCAAGATGCCGAGGTCGGATTCGAACCACGGACGTTCCGGTCAGTAAATTCGCCTTTTAACCATTGAACCATCTGGCTTCAATATACATTTTGTTCTCGTTGTAACAATGATATTTATTCCTTCGGCTGGAGCTACTTAACACACTGCTATTCCCAGAAAGTGCGTGCCATTAAAGCCGAACTAAACTGTTCTCTTCCTGAAAGTGTCCGCTGTTGAAAGGTACAAATCTTTAACAGTAAAAATGAACAGCTTGGGAACAGTGAGTGTTGGTCTGCTTGAAAGGGCTATTGTCATGTGTCCCTCTCGATACGAGTTGCACAGTGAAACGAACGGAGAACGACTTTTTTCTAGAATCCGTAGGACAATATCAAGACTTGTTTTT